CCCTGTGGGTGGGTCCCTGGAAAGGATTTTGGCCCTAGCCCTAGAAAAAGAGCGATTGTAACATACAGTAGTAGACGTCGGAAGGGCGTTCTAAACAGTGGTGCAGACTGGACGGAATTAGATCCTCTTTTTCTCTTGCCATCGTATCATGCTTCTCTCTTCCTGAAATATCTCCGCCTCCCATTCTACCAGCGCCATTGTATTAGGGGTTGACACTGTTTGGGTGATTTACATTCAAAGTTCTCATTTCCTGTGTTCCATGTCCCTAGTGACATGTGTGAATTGTGTCCCCTAAAGAGAGGGACTCAGGAGGTTGCTGGAAAATGGGTGGGTCAGGATTTTGTATCCAGAGAGTCTAAATCTATCTGAGCAAATCGGAGAGGGCTCCAAAGAAGAGGTGGCATTTGGCCTGAGACTTGAAGCATAATGAGGAGTTTAACAAGAGGATGGCGAGCCCAGTGTGTTCAGGGAGCTACAGGGACTGCGGATAATAGGTTAAAATCACTCATCTCAGGTCTCCTGGGTGGCTCAGTTGGTTGAACATCTGACTTTCAATTTTCTGCTCAGGTCATAATCCCAGGGTTGTGGGATGGAGCCCTGTGTCGGGCTTTTGCTGAGCATGGAGACTGCTTAAGATTCTCTCTCTCTCTCTCTCTCTCTCTCTCTCTGCCCCTCCCACAGCCCTCTCTCTCTCTCTCTCTCTCTCTCTCTCAAAAAAAAAAAAAAAAAAAAAAAAAATCACTCATCTTAAGTGAGGGCAAGGTGGCCGGCCACAGAATCAGGTGTAGGAATGGGGAGAAGTGCAGTGTACCTTGGACATTTAATAGACTCTTCACTTTGTACATTTAATAGACCCTGGGAGCACACTTTGCAGAATTATACATATACTTTAAACTGTTAAGCTTGGTAGAGAACCTTCTATGTAGCCACCATTAACAAGAAGCAAAGTGGTTAAGTATATAGACCCTGGAGTCAGATTGTCTGGCTTTAATTCCCAGATCTGCCTCTACCAGCTCTGTGACCTTGGGCAAGTTATTTGATGCCTCTATGCCTTGGTTGCATGGTCTGTAAATCGAGCATAATAGTACCTCTCTCAGCAAGTCATAGGGGTAAGATGAGTGAGTTAATACATGAGAAGCCCGCAGAATAGTGCCCAGTGCACAGCAAACACTCACGAACTGTCGGGCACTAGTATGATTTCATTTCTCATAAGGTTGTTTGCAATCACCAACCGTGCACTTAGTGCATGATCCCATGATAGTAATTACATGGTTTTAGTTGTTCATTTGGTGGTGTTTCCCGCTGGACTGTGAATTCCTCAAAGGCATTAGCTGAATAAATGTCTCTTTCCAAAGTAATTGAATTCATGCTTTCAAGCGTATTTCCTACTTACTACATTTATGTGTTGGTAATCTAAGGGGAGAACACTCCTTAGGATTGTGAGGGGGAAATAACATTCTTAGTTGGAAACTCCTTTGCGAGGCGGGAAAATCTTTGCACACAGAAGCATTGTCTTCTTTATGAACCCAGGCCAGCCCCTTGAGATTGTTGCTGGAAAACTTGCTTCATGGAGGTTTTGTCCTATTCAAAAGGGTTTAAGGAGCCCAGAGAAATAAGAAATATCTGAACCCTGAAACTTGTCCATTTGGCTGGACATTTTTAGCAGAGCCTTGTTATAAAACTTTTAGCAAAGAAACTTCTTTCAAAGGGCCCTAACTCCTGAAAGGTGGGAAAATTAAGTTAAGTGGAGTTTAGACATCACATGCACCCAGAGAAACTGGCCTGATGCTCCTTCTCGGCTTGTTTTGATTGCCTTGGAGGAGAAAGGACACAGAGAAGCTTTTCTGCTGAGACCACGGAATGAAAGTTAAAGTTGCCTTAGGAGATTGGCTCTGAGTCTGCAGGACCCAGGAGCTCTGCAAAGGCTGGACCATAGCCCAGAGGGCAGACCCAGATTGTGTGTGTGTGTGTGTGTGTGTGTGTGTGTGTGTG